TCAGAATTTGTATTACAAGTTATAAAGCATTAAAGTTCAATAAAAATTCGAATAATCGGATAGAATCATAAATTCAGGAAATTTTGAATAATGACAATAAAAGGTTAATATTGTCATTTCCATATTTTTAATTGGTGAAATTTAACATGGATTTTCGGATTTAAGTTGATTTTCCATGTTAAACCAAGATCATTGAATTTAAGTTACTAGATTGTAATTTCAGAAAATTTATAAGAACAAAGTTGGAAATATGAATATTTTTGTTCATATTTGACTTTGATGATGTAAGGAAGATGATCTAAGAAGGATGATGTCATGATAATGGTATGGTAGTAATTATCATGATTTTCAAAGCATAAAAAGGTCTTTTTAGCATAAAATGAATTTGTAATTCATTTTAATTAATTTTTTAACAAGTGTATCATAATATTTTAAGTCAAAAATCAATAAAACTCCATCATCTTTCTCCTTAGTTGCCGTGAACTCCATAGCCAAAAGATTGCGATCAAGACCGTAATAAGAGTAAGCTTTAAGCGAAGAAAAAAGTTAAAAAGTCAAGCGTATCATTAGTGACGGATAGCTAGTGAGACAAATTAGATGAGTGTATCTTACCTATCTTTATATATATATATATATATATATATATATATATATATATATATATATATATATATATATATATATATATATATATATATATGAGGATGACTTGCGATGATGACTTGCGATGATTTAACCTCAAATGATTTGAAAATAAAAATATTTAAATCATATTTTGATTTATTTTTATACTCTTTTTTTACAAGATGGTATTCACATGATTTTGGGTATAAATTACCCAATATATTTTATATGATATTTTTATTAAATGGTTTATAGATGATTTTGGGTCTGAACTGCCCAATGCACTCATATATGAAGTTTTGATATGTTAGTATCTATTGATACTTTGATATGTGAATAGTATATGAATTTGTTAAAAAACCCCATTGTATGTTTATTGAGAGTTATTGGTACAACTGACATGTCATGAAGTAGAGTGCTTATCGATCGATTTTACATAGGTACATTCGTCTACATCATAGTACATGATACATTTTATGGCACATATATGATATGTTGTCTACACGTATATGATGTTAGTACGATGTATTCCTGATCATAGGTACAATGTTGTTGTGCTCTATAGTACCTGTAAATTAATATGACACTTATGGTGCAATTGATTTACAAGACACTAAATGAGTAATTTATTCACATACAGTTATATTGCACATAGTACACTCGTATATATGACTAGCGTACCATTCTCATTTATTATACATTGGATTGTTATTTGAAAATGTAAACAATACATGTTATATGATTTGAATATGTGAAAAGTATAGGTTACATGAGTTAAATATAGAAAAGTACAGTTTTATGATTAAATGACATCAAATGTTATATTGGGTACTTTGATTTGGCATTGAATGCCTCATATTTGAGAATTTTTGTTTTACTGGTTATATGATAAAAGAATGACTTTGATAAGTCAATTTTTATGTTCATATATTTTTATATGATAGTTATAGTACTTTGGTTATTTATGGTATTTTCATATTTTAAAGTACCTTACTTTAGTTTATATATGTCTCACTAAGTGAAAACTTAGCACGTGATTATTTCACGCATAGGTAAAAAAAAAAAACGAGCCGAGTAAGGAGTGTAGTTGGCATTACTTTTGAAGATGATATATGCTCCTCAATAACAGTATGACATTTTATGATATTTTTAGCTTTTCTAATTGGCATGTATATTATATGGGTGTTATTTTGCTCTTATATGATATTTATAAATTGGTTTGTAAACTATAAAATATGTTAGACTAGATATGGTTACTACTAGTTATAATTAGTAGTTGCATGAATAGTAGTTTACTAAATTATGTTTTAAATGCTATCTATGTGGATTTTATAGTAAGCAATTTTTTAGACAGTTTTGCTTATGATATGAAATATTATTGAACTGTCTAATTGCTGCCTAAAACCGGGGTTGAAATTGATGTCAAAATGTTATATTATAGTTTTACGTGATTTAATTAATTTTGTGATAAATGTTAAATTTCATGATTTTAAAAGAAACAAGTCGGTTTTTGAATAGGAAAATGTTTTAATGGTTTATGTGACATCTCTGATTCATATTCGAAGATGAATACGAGAAATGGGTGTTACAGAGAGTGTATTTGAACAGTTGTATAATTTGTTTTGAGGTTAGCAGATTGGTTTAAATAGAAGGTTAGTTTGTTAATAAATTTGTTGTTTTCCTTTATATAAATAAACTTTTGTAAAATTATTGAGAAATAGAATATAATATTTTTCAATATCCTATTTTCAACATATTATTCCTATAGTATGCATGTTTAAATCATCCATAATTAAACAATATTTCACATGTAATCAAATTAATTGAATTAGTTTATTGTTTTGTTGTTGTTGCTTTTAATTGAATTAGTTTATTGTTTTTGTTGTCGTTGCTTTTTACTGTTTATTTCATGTTGTTTGTTTTGATTAACTTTATGATGATGGGATAATAGATAAACAATGGTAATACTATTAAAATATATTATTATTATTACTATTATTATTATTTTATTCCATTATTTTATTCTTATTATTTGAAAGATATGTTTATAAAAAATTAGTGTAAAAGACATGAATAATTAATTATTTAGTTTTTGCCGACTAGTATTGATAGAAGTGATTGGGATTTAGGAATTTAAGCTTGTAAGGCTAAGTTTGAATCTTACCACAGTCACTATTGATGGGCAATATGTAAAATCCTATGTAAATCTCAATTGGGTCTTAGGTATGCCTGACCCTGAACTGAGAGAATCACTCTTAACCTAAACTTTTATGTATAAAAAAATTAATTAATTAATTAATTAGTGTTCTTATCATCGTGGTTAAAACGCTATTATAATAAGAGATAGATAATAACTTTTAAAATAGCAAAAGTACAATATCAATCAATTTTGACCAAAATTATATTCTACTAATATTTATTAAATTCATCAATAAGTTAAAATATCCTAGATTATCATGAAATTAAATTAGTTATATAAATTTTGTTATTCTTATCAACAAAATGAATTAGTCATTGAATCTATATCAAAGTTTTAATGTATGTAACCCTTCTGAATTTTATTTTCCAATCGTTGAATTCGCTAATGATATCTTAGATCACCAAAGTGATTTCATATTTCACGACTTTAGGAATATGATTTACTCAAAATTTTAAAATAATTTATAATAGATATAAAAATATAAAAGCAGAGTTTTCTTGTTTGAAAATTGAATATATAATTATTTGAAATTTGAATATATAAATAAAATATAATAAAATAATTACAACATGACTCGAATAAAATCATAACTTCTGCAAGTTCACTCAACTCCTCATCAATGTACTCGGGTACTCAAGTGAGACTCCTCTAATAACATCGTTATTCTATCATGATCTACGAAACCTGTAACATATTAAATAAGAAATATGATCGTTGAATTATATAAAAACAAGCATGCTAGTTTGTTATGAATTTATAGCCATTAACTAGTCATTCTTTTATTTTTAATCTTTTATACGATTTTATCACACTTAATCTAAGTCCAAACTCCAAAGTACAACATATCTTAGGTCATCACATTTGTTTATTCATTGCTTAGGTTAAGTATTCGCGTTATCTTATTCATTTAATCACGATTAATATTAGTCATATTCTTAGATTCATTATGTACAAGTATATAATTCTTTAACTTAATTCATTTATTCGTTTTGATCAAATACTCATCCTTGTCATTATCATGGAAAATATTTAGAAAGAATTATGATTGTTCGAATCTAATTGATGACAAGATTAAAAATAAATAAAGTTTAATTTAAGATTTAAGATTTAATTCAAATATAAATTAAATTTTATTTTTAAGATTTAAATCAGTCTAATTCAGTCAATCAAACTCGATTAAACTTGTAAATAACATAAATAAACTCGATTCTCTTACTTGAGTAACTTGCGAATGAGTTGCTTACATTGAAAAGAAAGGAGACAATCGAGTTGCACTCTGAGTCCTCCGGACTCGGAAAGATTCAGTGCACCAAGATGTTTTCTTTTCTTGGCAAAGTAACAACAGGGATGGGCCCCATTGATTATTACCACAGTTTCATATTTGAACTTCCAAATCACATTCAGTGTACCAAGTCGGATTGTCTCTTTAAATAAGAATGATAACCCTCCATTGCTCTTTATCACCAACCGACCCTCCGTTGTTAATTTCACCACTATCCATACTTGATTTTAGTTCATCCAAAACCCAGCTACATGAGCTGTGTGTACAGATAAAGAGTGTTCCTTTCAGAAATGAGACTGAGTTTTGTATAAGAATCAAGAAAGCAATGAAAGAATGGAATTCTCGTCTTTCATATATGAGAAAGGTGATATATCAAGTTGTTTATATACAAGCACTATGAGCTAACTAACTACCAAAGCTAACAGAAAAAACAAATTAACAGTTAACCTAACAAACAAATGGTTAACTTAACAAATAATATATCCTAATACCCCTTCAAGATGGAATTGCATGGATGTTAAGAAGACTCAGCTTGGCAATAAAATCATGATGCATGGGAGCTCGAAGAGTCTTTGTAAACACGTAAGCTAGTTGATTTGAAGAACGAACGTGGAAAACCTTCAAAAAACTAGTCTTGACCTTGTCGCGTAGAAAGTGACAATCAACTTCAATGTGTTTAGTTCGTTCGTGAAAAAACTTGGTTGGTTGCCAAATTAATCGCAGCTTGGTTATCACAATACAAACGTACATAATCAATGAAGATATGAAAAGAGGACAACAAGGAAGCAATCCAAACCAGCTCACAAGCGACTACTACCATAGCCCGATATTCTGCTTCATAGGAAGATTGACTAACAATGGCTTGCTTTTTTCGATTTCCAAGAGACAATGCTATCATAAAAAAATACAAAACCCCGATGTACAATGTCGAGTATCTGGGCAAGAACCATAATCTGAATCAACAAAAATACTCAACTGAACACTATAGTGAACTGGAAAAAGCAATCCAAGCCCAGATGACTGTTTGATATAAGCAAGAAGATGTTTCAAAGCTGTCATGGGAGGTAGACGAGGAGAATATACAAATTGGCTTAGCAAATGCACCGTATGAACAATGTCGGGCCTGGAGTTAGTTAGGTAGAGAAGTCGACCTATCAATCGACAATATTCTTGAGGATTAGGCAATGGTTCTCTTTCATCAGCACTCAACTTCAAGGAATGAACCATGGGAGATTCAACCAGTTTCACACCCAAACATCCTGCATCCCTGAGCAACTGCAAAGCATACTTTCACTGAGATAAAGAAATTCCATATGCACTTCGAGCTACTTCAAACCCAAGAAAATAGCGCAAAGTGCCCAACTCCTTTAGCTTAAAATGTTTTTGTAGAAGACTTTGAATCCTATGGAGCAACTGTAAATATGCACCAGCAATTACAATGCCATCCACATAAACCAAGAGAGCAACAAAAGCATCACCAGATCCTTTAGTGAATAAGGAATGTTCAACAGGTAATTGTTGAAAACCAAACTTGAGAACGACACTCGAAAAACCATTGAACCACTGTTGGGATGTGATATGATCCTAACCATCCCCAATTTTCTTTTTCATTTGATCACATCATTGAAGTTCACCAAGGCTAATTCAAAGGGAGTTCTACCTTACTTCATCCTCTACTTGCTCATTTATGCGCTATATTTTATCATTCATTTGCATGATTATACTTGTGCATGAGTTTGCATGAGAATTTAAAAGTTTGTATAACATTCATTTCTTTTAATAAGTGTGTTGTTCATTAAAGCATTCATTGCATTTAAACATGTAGTTCATTTAGCTATGCACTTCATTTAACTAAGTAATTCATTGATTAAACTAGTTCATTCATTAAACTAGTTCATTCATCAAACTAGTTCATTCATCAAGCTAGTTCATTCATGATTACAAATTCATTGAATAAAGTTAGTTCATTAATTAAACTATTTCATTAATCAAACTAGTTCATTTACTAAACTAAATCTTAATTGCTTCATGCATTTTTTCAATTAAAGATTGAATAAAGTTCACCTTTGTGTCTAGGTGCATGAGAGAAGTTGAACGGTTTCATCAGATGCAAGAATGCCAGTCAGAATATCTTCCAATTATGGATGTGATACATACATTTTTGGTTCTAGAAATCAATTGGGAATTATTTCTCTATCTCTTATCTTTCCAACACCTTTTGAATCACCTCAATTCAATATCGGGAGCTTGAGATATGATTGATTTATTGAAGACAGTGCAGGGTGGAATTTTGTTACGAGACTTTTATGCATGAATGATTTGGGTGAGTTTAAGCCAAGGGAGAGTCTTTTCAAATTCAGCCAAGTGACAAGCCATTGAAGGACTCTTAATTCACACATTCAAGGAATTCAAAGCTGATTGTTATCATCTAAAGTCAAGGGTTGTTCATATTCTTCAAGGGAGCATGCAATGAAGGGTGATTTAATTCACTTATTAAGACAATTTTAAGCATGAAATAACAAGAGTGTTCCACCCCCTGGACGAAATTAAGGTCAAATTCAGCTTCAAATTGTCTAGATCCATCCCCAAAAATGATCTAGAATATTCGTCCAACCTTTAAGATAAGAAGACAAAGCATTTAAGTGCATTTTATTGCTAAATTGATGAGAATGTTTTCGTCGTTTGAGTCTTTTCATATGTTGCTTAAAAATACTATAAATAGACACCTTTGGGATCATTTATAGACACACACATTTGAATATATAAAACATATTTGATAGGTTTCTTTCATTCTTGTTCTCTTATGGAACTTTATCGGCTTCAAGATAGTCTTGTAGTCTTCATCCATTTCCTTTTGTTATAGCGTTGATTCCTAGCTCATCATCTATAGCTAGTGGGTCACGTTCCATCTACTTTCACTTTGATTCCATCTCTTTATATTGCTGGTTCCTAACTCCATATAGTTTGAGGGTCACAATCCGTTTTCTTTTCAATCCATCTTACACATTCCATGCTATTACTAACCCATACCTTCGCCATACTTCCATTCCATCCAAACTACAACTTTCATCATCTTCCGTACTTAACCAAATCCTAAAAATCATTTCCATATCAATCCTTCATTTCCATTACATCTCTATCTTTCATTAACATCTTACAAGTCATGATTTTCAAGTTCAAAGCAAGTAATTCAATCTCTCACTAGAATCACGATCGGGCATTCATATATATGACTCGAAACTCATAATCGAGATCATATCATTTGGTATTAGAGCGAGCCGATTCAGTAAGTATATCATTTTATCTCTCCCGAGTTTGTAAAAAAATCGAAGAAAAAATAAAAAAAAATAAAAAAGAGAAAAAGTTTAAAGAGGGAGAGAGTAATTCTTTTCATCTTTAAAGAAAAACAAAGTAATATTTACTTCATCTTTATATTCCATTATTCTATTTCGTTACCTTTACTTACCATCTCTTTTCCTTGTAGCCAATTTCTTTTCACTATCATTGCTACCAAGCCATAATTGTTTTAGCCAAAGTCCACTAGACACTTTTAAGCCTTGAGAAATTTCCCAAAAGGACTTGTAATCAAAGCACGAGTGGTAAAAGGCATGAGTGAACATTAAGGGTATAAGTCATCCCGAGTGAAACACAAGTGGGAGTGACTTTTCTTGGAGTGTTTGGTGAGGTTTTTCCTTTTATTTGTGAGGTTATTTTTTTATTATTAATTATGTATCATCATTCAGGATACAATTCTCAAGTTTCAGGTAATAGTGTACCTAACTTACAAATACAAACAATGATTCGTGAGTTGTTAAGATTGTCGATGGAAGAAATTAGAACCATTTCACGAGAAAGTAATGTTGTAAAGCACCTTTCAGGTTTCATCTCTAGCTCGAGTCAAAGACCAAGAAAAGATGACATAGTTTCTCAATCGAGGAAGTACATGTCAAAAGAGAAGACTACTCCAACTAAATGCAACTTACATCCAGATTTTAGATGCTATCGATGCTTGGGAAAAGGACACGCACTTAGTCAATGTCCTAATCGAAGTGCTAAAAAGTCTAAAGTTGTCGCCAACCATCAACCAAAACAAGAAATCAAAGTAGAGGCGAATAAAGAAGTTAATCTGAGACAAGATGAGAGCAAAAATGCAACAAGCAAGGGAGAAATCATATTCGAGGATGTTTCAGAACACAACAACAAGAAGATCACTTTGGCACCCCAAACGCCAAATCAAGTGAAATAATATCAATTTCTCTTGAAGAGAAGTGTTGAAGACATGATGGAAAAGTAGCAAAACAAAGAGAGTTCAATTGAAAAAGAACATTGTGAAGAGAAAAAAATAATTGGTGATGAAAATGTTGGAGTTAAACATAATGAGAATGAAGTAGTGAATGAAAGACAAGATGGAATTAAAATTGTGTATAAAGAAGAAAAAGAACGAACTTTATCTAACCAATCTTTTCTTCCTATTCTTTCTTCTTTTGTTTTGCAGGATTCTCTAAAAGATATGCCATTTCAAATTCATGAAACATGCATCATGCCTTTTGAAGAACCAACGAGCATCCCATAATATCCATCATTTAAAGTGCCAAATGTTGTGTTTGTTGGCATCCCGAGTTCTTTGCCAATCTTGAAGGAAATTCAGCAACCAATGCCAATTAAACATTAACCCTGGTTTTCTATTTCCATTTATTTTGTTATTAAATTCTTAATTACTAATTTTGATTTATTTTGCCGCAACTTGTTTCATGCTTATGGTGACATTCTTCCAACTAATGGTGGCAAGATCATTTATCCTTTTGTTAATCGATGCCTCAAACTTATCCATTTCAAGCATGTGAAGTGGGCACTATCGATCTCTTTAAAGGACATCATTTGGAAGAAAACAAGGCATAAGATAGCTGGTGATATCTACCTACTTGAAAGAGTTCAAAAGACACCACTCTTCACCAGCCAACATGACAATTCAAGGAGGGAAAATAGAGGTGTCTTTCTTAAGCATTATGTTGATCCAACGGAGAAAAGTGAAAGGACAAGTTCTTTCATCAATTGTCATGGAATTTCTAACAAAGAAGGAGTGCAAAGAACATTTACCTATTCGGATGAACAACGTGGAAGTGAAGTGCAAAGGCAAGCAAAACTTAATAACAAAGAATGGTGTTTGTACAAAACAAGAATGAAGAAGTTCCCAGCTAAAAGGAAGTCGAGATTGTTTCCTTTTACAATAAGTGTCGATTTGGGGACAAATTGCTTTAAAGAGGGAGGGGATGATGTGATCCTAACCAGCCCCAGTTTTCTTTTTGATTTGATCACATCATTGAAGTTCACCAAGGCTGATTCAAAGGGAGTTCTACCTTACTTCATCCTCTACTTGCTCATTTATGCACTATATTTTATCATTCATTTGCATGATTCTGCTTGTGCCTGAATTTGCATGAGAATTTAAAAGTTTGTATAACATTCATTTCTTTTAATAAGTGTGTTGTTCATTAAAGCATTCATTGCACTTAAACATGTAGTTCATTTAGCTATGAACTTCATTTAACTAAGTTGTTCATTGATTAAACGAGTTCATTCATTAAACTAGTTCATTCATCAAACTAGTTCATTCAAGATTACAAGTTCATTGAATAAAGTTAGTTCATTAATTAAACTAGTTCATTCATCAAAATAGTTCATATACTAAACTAACTCTTAATTGTTTCATGCATGTTTTCAATTAAATATTGAATAAGTTCACCTTAGTATCTAGGTGCATGAGAGAAGTTGAATGGTTTCATCAGATGCAAGAATGTCAGTCAGAATGTATTCGAATTCTGGATGTGATACAGACGTGTTTGGTTCCATAAATCAAGTGGGAATTATTCCTCTATCTTTTATCTTTCCAATGCCTTTTGAATCATCTCAATCCGATATCGAGAGCTTGAGATATGATCGATTTATTGAAGACAGTGCAGGCTGGAATTTTGTTACGGGAATTTTATGCATGGATGATTTGGATGAGTTTGAGCCAAGGGAGAGTCTTCTCAACTTCAGCCAAGTGACAAGCCATTGAAGGAATCTTAATTCACACATTCAAGGCATTCAAATCTGATTGTTATCATTTAAAGTCATGGGCTGTTCAAATTCTTCAAGGGAACATGCAATGAAGGGTGATTTAATTCACTTATTAAGACAATTTCATCATGGAATAGCAAGAGTGTTCCACCCTCTGGACGAAATTAAGGCCAAATTCAGCTTCCAATTTTCTACATTCATCCCCAAAAATGATCTAGAATATTCAACCAACCTTGAATATAAGAAGACAATGCATTCAAGTGCCTTTTATTTCTAAATTGATGAGAATATATTAATCTTTTGAGTCTTTTCATATGCTGCTTAGAAATACTATAAATGGGAACCTTTGGGATCATTTGTATACAAACACATTTGAATATATAAAACATCTTTGAGGGGTTGCTTTCATTATTGTTTTGTTGTAGAAATTTATCTACTTCAAGATAATATTGTAGTCTTCATCCATTTCCTTTTGTTATAGTTTTGGTTCCTACCTCATCATCTATAGCTAGTGGGTCACGTTCCATCTACTTCCACTTCGATTCCATCTCTTTATATTATTGGTTCCTAACTCGATATAGTTAGAGGGTCACAATCTGTTTTCTTTTCAATCCATCTTATACATTCCACACTATTACCAACCAATACCTTTGTCATACTTCCATTCCATCCAAACTACAACTTCCATCATCTTCCATACTTAACCAAATCCTAAAAATCATTTCCATATCAATCCTCCATTTCCATTACATCTCTATCTTTCATTAATATCTTACAATTCATCATTTTCAAGTTCAAAGCAAGTAATTCAATCTCTTACTAGAATCATACTCATAATCGATATCATATTAAGATGTCTGTTTGAGCTCGTAGATAGACTTACGATGCTTACAAACCACGTTGCCACCCTTGAGAACAGGTATTGTAATACCCCAAATGTCAGGCCAGTGACTTTATTGAAAATATTTAAATTTTGAGGATTTAATTAATAAATGATAAAGTATAAGAAAATAAATTAGAAATTATTTGGTTAAGACTAATTTCTAAGAATGAAAGAATGAAAGGGGTATTTTGGTCCTTTAAGGGGGAATGAATTATGGTATTAAAGTAAAGTAAAGGGGAAAAGGGAGAGTGAATACCTTGGTTATCTTTCTTCTTCTTTCTCGTTTTCATGTGGCCTTCTCCATAGATAAGGTAAACTTCATCAAACTAGTTTTTCCTTTAGATTATGGTTTGTTTTTGCAACCTTAAGTGATATGTAAGATTAAGGAATGGTTAAATAAGATTAAAACTAGGAGATGGAGGAAATATTTTAGATTTAAGAAAGTGAGTTTTTGAATGATATGTTAGAATATAAGTTTTTATTGATGTTTATTAGTATATTTGACTTGTCAAAGAAGTAAATAAGAAATTAGAAGTTTTGGATGGGATTAAAAACATGTTAGGAAAAGTGGTATGATTCTTAGATGGAAATGTTCTTGGGAGATTTTAAATGTTTTAAGAAGTTAAATGAAGGAAATTTAGTAGGGATAAGTAAAGAAGAGTTTAATAGTATTGTTGAGGGTAAACATATGGAAATTTGACCAAATTTAGGTAAGAATCGGGCTAGAAAATGGAAAATCTGGGTAAGTGTATCGGTAATTATAGAACAGTACCGATACTATAAGTTTAAAAGGTAGAAATATGATGAACAACACTGGTACTAATATAATTAGTATCAATACTGATAGGGTATCGATACCAAAAAGGAAAGTATCGATACTGAAAGGGAGTATCGGTACATAGTATAGAAGTATCGATACTAGAAGGAAAATATCGATACCATAAATCCAAAATGTAGAAATGGTATCAATACTGAAGGGGAATATCGGTACCATAATATAGAAGTATCGATACCATGGTATGTGTACCGATACTATTGAGTCATGAATTTTAAGTTGGGTTAAGATTGTTATAGAAAATTTAATAATAATACTTTTGAGTATTGTTGAAGTATAAATGTTAGGGAATATA